CCCAGCCTCCCGAGGCCTTTGGGCATGCGTTTTTGGTAGGTTTTGGGAAGCCACCCGCCCAGCAAATTCTTCGCCGGGACCCCCCCTGCACCCCGGCACCCCCAGCCTCCCGAGGCCTCTGGGCATGTGTTTTTTGGTAGGTTTTGGGAAGCCACCCGCCCTGCAAATTCTTCGCCGGGACCCCCCCTGCACCCCAGCACCCCCGGCCTCCCGAGTCCTTTGGGCATGCGTTTTTGGTACGTTCTTATAGGCCACCCACCCCGCAAATTCTTCGCCGGGCTCTCCCCCGCACCCCGGCACCCCCAGCCTCCCGAAGCCCCGCCCTGCAAATTCTTCGCCGGGGCCCCGCCTGCACCCCAGCACCCCCGGCCTCCCGAGGCCTCTGGGCATGCGTTTTTTGCCAGGTTTTTAGAGGCCACCCACCCTGCAAATTCTTCGCCGGCACCCCCCCCTGCACCCCGGCACCCCCGGCCTCCCGAAGCCTCTGGGCATGCGTTTTTGCTAGGTTTTTAGAGGCCACCCACCCTGCAAATTCTTCGCCGGGACCCCCCCCTGCACCCCGGCCCCCCCAGCCTCCGGAGGCCTCTGGGCATGCGTTTTTGGTAAGTTTTTACAAGCCACCCACCCTGCAAATTCTTCGCCGGGACCCCCTGCACCCCGGCACCCCCAGCCACCCGAGGCCTCTGGGCATGCGTATTTGGTGGGTTTTCAGAAGCCACCTGCCGTGCAAATTCTTCGCCGGGCCCCCCCCTGCACCCCGGCACCCCCAGCCTCCCGAGGCTTTTGGGCATGCGTTTTTGGTAGGTTTTTACAAGCCACCAACCGTGCATATTCTTCGCCGGGACCTCCCCTGCACCCCAGCACCCCCAGCCTCCCGAAGCCTCTGGGCATGCGTTTTTGGTATTCTTATAGGCCACCCACCCCGCAAATTTTTCGCCGGGCTCCCCCCCGAACCTCGGCACCCCCAGCCTCCCGAGGCCTCTGGCCATGCGTTGTTCGTAATATTGAGAACCCACCCACCCCGCAAATTCTTCGCCGGGATCCCCCCCTGCACCCCGGCACCCCCAACCTCCCGAGGCTTCTGGGCATGCGTTTTTGGTACGCTTTTAAAAGCCACCCACCCTGCAAATTCTTCGCCGGGACCCCCTTTGCACCCCGGCCCCCCCAGCTTCCCGAGGCCTCTGGGCATGCGTTTCTGGAAAGTTTTAAAAAGGCCACCCACCCTGCAAATTCTTCGCCGGCACCCCCCCCTGCACCCCGGCACCCCCAGCCCCCCGAGGCTCTGGGCATGCGTTTTTGGTAGGTTTTGAGAGGCCACCCATTCTGCAAATTCTTCGCCGGGACCCCCCCCTGCACCCCGGCACCCCAGCCTCCCGAGGCCTCTGGGCATGCGTTTTTGGGAAGTTTTTCGAGGCACCCATACCCCCCTCCTGGCCCCGGCACCCCCACCACAGGAGAGCTCAATGCTAGGAACCCACCACCCACACGCCACCGCGCCCGAAACCACCCACCCGCCACCACGCCTGACATTCCCAACCTCCTGAGGCTTCTCGGCCTCTGCTTTCAAGGACCCCCAACCCTGCAAAATCTTCGCCGGGACCCCCCCACCGCGCCTCCTGCAGCCTCTGGGTAATGGTTTGTAGAAGCCACCCACCCTGCAAATTCTTCGCCGGGACCCCCCCCCTGCACCCGGGCACCCCCAGCCTCCCGAGGCCTCTGGGCATGCGTTTTTGCCAAGTTTTTAGAGGCCACCCACCCTGCAAATTCTTCGCCGGGACCCCCCCCCTGCACCCGGGCACCCCCAGCCTCCCGAGGCCTCTGGGCATGCGTGTTTGCCAAGTTTTTAGAGGCCACCCACCCTGCAAGTTCTTCGCCGGGACCCCCCCTTGCACCCCGGCACCCCCAGCCTCCGGAGGCCTCTGGGCATGCGTTTTTGGTAAGTTTTTTAACAACCACCCACCCTGCAAATTCTTCGCCGGGACCCCACCCCTGCACCCCGGCACCCCCAGCCACCCGAGGCCTCTGGGCATGTGTATTTGGTGGGTTTTCAGAAGCCACCCACCCTGCAAATTCTTCGCCGGGCCCCATAAGCCACAACAGCGACTCCCAAACCGACACACGACTACCCCCGCAGGTCCCGGACGGACCTCATCAGCAAGATCGAACCACACACACACCACTGCATAGAAAAGACGGGGTCACACGCATTCTCTTCCTCCTCCTCCTCTTCTTCTCCCTCACGTTTGGGGGGGGAGGAAGACAAGAAAGAGTAGGCGAATAACAATGTCGGCGGAAGAGAAGGAGGAGGAGGCGGACGAGATGCCTCCTATTCGTTAGGACAATCGGCCCTGGGGCTGTAGACGTTCTCCTTGCGCAGGACAGGACCCCCGAAAACCGACGGGGCGTGAAGACGGTATCCCCTCCAAATGAATCCCTGGACCCCTACCAGAGCCCGCTTGACGCGGTTTCCTCATCCTCACCTTCCTCCATCTAGTCCGCGATGCTTCCCCCTCTCGGGCCATCTACAACCCCACCTTCGGCCCACCTGCTCTTTGCGCAGAAGCAGGCCTCCCTCTGCCGCGGCTTCCGAAAGCCTATGAACAAGGGGTATTCATTCCTATGGTCATCACCATCATCACTGTGATCATCCCCTTCTGAACCAGGGGGCCCAAAGAGTGCAACAAGAGGCCGCCAAAGGAGCCAACAAAATGACCCCAAAATGCTCCAGGAAGGTCTCCAGGCGCCGTAGACGGCGCAAGACGGGCCCAACGATAATGAATCAACCGGGAAACCGTCTACCCACTCTCCCCATAAGCCCCCTTTGGGGTCGGCGGCAAAGGCGTGGAGGGGGGCGCGAAGGCCAAACTTTACAATCCACGGGGAAAATTGCGAATCGAAGTTGCTATCATCTCATGTTGACTAGCAACAGCATCAAAAACGCTGAGCATGGCCATGGTGGTCTCACCACACCAGCTTCCGCAATCACGAGCGTGCCGCAGGGCTGTGGGATTCTCACCAGTTCAGTTTGCCCACGTTACGAACGTGCGGCAGAGCAGTGGGATTCTCATTTTCTTAGCCGTGCGCCTGCTTGCAAGTAGCCACGAGCCTCGAGATCTCTCGAGTCAGCCTTGTGAAATGCGCCTGGTTAGTCACGAGCCTCGAGAGATCTCGAGTCAGCCTTGTGCCGAACGCTCAGGATCACCATCATCATCATCATCATCATCATCATCATCATCATCATCACCATCACCATCACCATCACCATCACCATCACCATCATCATCATCATCATCATCATCATCATCATCATCAGCATCGTCACCATCATCATCATAACTTACCTTCCCCGGGAAAATCTTTCATTATCCCCGCCAGAGCCCCGAACTTTATTATCCCCGGGGTATTATGATCGCCCGCGCGGGGTTAAGGAGCAGGCAGCAAGGAACAGGGGAAAAGGAGGAAGGGGACAACAAGAGGCAGGAGCAAGGGAGAGCAGCAGCAGGACCGAGGGAAACGAGAGCAGGCAGGAGAGAGGATGAAAAGAGAGAAAGGACAGGACAAACCAGACAGGGAAGAGGCAGGAGAGAGGAGGATGATGAGGATGAGGATGAGGATGAGGATGAGGATGAGGAGGAGGAGGAGGAGAACGAGGAAGACGAAGGAGGACGGTAATAACCACGAGGAAAACTACGTCGAAGAAGAGGGGGTCCTCGTGATCTTTTGAGGCTACCCTGGGGGTTGTTGGGGCTGTCTCGGTATGTCTTGGGGCCTCCAGGGGTCCTCTTTGTTGGGATTTTCTTGGGCTGTTTGGGCGTGTCTGAGGGTCCTGTATGGGTTTCTGAAACCGTCTTGGCCCGGACTGTCTTGGGGCTCTCTTGGACCGTTTGGGTGCCTCCTGGGGCGCTCTTGGGAACCTCGTTGAGCGCTATTTGTGCCTTGTGGGGGGCCTTTTGGGGCCTGTGAGGCCCTCCAGGAGCGAATCAACTACGACGTGGATTTGGAATCCTCTCCGGAAAGCCAATTGAGGATGTCTATAGCGAAACGGCCATTTGTCATGAACGTATCCAGACAATAATGGAAAGCGCCGCTTCTCTGAGCTTGCGCGCGCACGCGCGCATGGATTTGCACCCAACACGCATGTGTATGGGGTGCAGGCGCTGGGCTCCCCTGAATGCCCAGATGGTTGCCATTGGTAGCTTGTTGCTCGTGGTCCGGGGGGCGACGTCTCCGAACGCCTACGGCTTGAGTGTGAAGTCTACATTCTGAAAGGCCTCCAGCAGGGCAGCTTTGGAGAACACTGCAGAAGGGGACCTGTGAGCCACGAGCCGCCTTGTTCAAGAGATGAAAGGATCTCACGAGGTACCACACCAACGCAGGATACGGCCCCAGGGGGGCCCAATAAGGCCCCCAGAGGCTCCCAAGACGGTCCAAGAGTCCCCCAAGACGGCCCAAGATGACCCCAAGAGTGCTTACGCGGCTCCGAGAGGCCCTCAAGACGGCCTCCGAAGGGGCCAGAGAGCGCAAGAGCGCCCCAAGACTGCCCCCATGAAGCCCCACAGAGGGCCCCCCAAGAGGTACTCCAAAAAAGCCCACACAAGACCTCAAGGAGCAGTACACCCTCAGTAAGTCGCACAACGGCTTGACTGTACGTGCTCTGGACGTGGACCCCGCGAAGAGAAAGGAAGGACTCCACGTCTGAAAGTGACAGGTTGTTGGGGACAAGTGAGGCAAACTTCTTGACGCAACATATCCGATGTCTTTCATTCTTGCATATCATGTTGTCTTACTCTTTACCATCACGTAGCCACTAGCACTACCAGGGCCATCCTAGACCCTGGAATCGAGATCACCGACCAAATCTTGTGCTCAAAATCGGCCCCCACTCAGACCTTTCCTGGGTTCTGTCCAGACCGGTTTTTGGACCCCGCCCAGCCGCGGCGACGAGAACGTCGATCCTCGACTTTCCAGTCTCCGAAACTCGATCGAGGCCCGGGCCATGCCTGGAATGGAATAGCCTCGCGTGCCAGCCTGTGGCGCACCTCAGGAGACCATGGCGCTCGCTCGCTCCTTCAGGGACGACCAGGACTTCGACCAGTCGAACACCTCCTCCCGCTCGCCTTCGATCCTTTGGGAGGAGCACGCAACTCTGTATGATCCAAACATCTGCCCCTTCGAACAAATCGAAGCGGCCGGTGTGTCGCTATTTCTGGCTTATGGAGGCTGGATTCGAGCTTCGGGGCGATAGCAAAAAAACAGTTCGGGATGAAGAGTCGGCCCTGGGTCAAGAGTCGAAAGATTTGACGGCCCCCGCATCGAACAACAGCGGAGCGCCGGTTGTCTGGGAAGGATCCCTGCGCTAAAACATGGCGCGCTTCGCGCCCCCCACCCCCTCCCTTGCGGCCACATGGTGTGAACCGGTGCTTGGCACGAGCGTGCAGAAGCAAGATCTGCTGGAGATGTGCATGCAGAAGCAAGAGAGGACAGATGCGGACAAATCGTGCCCCCTATCCTGGGACAAAGACTTTTGGCATGAAGGATCGGGGTCCGTTTTCCTCAACATAAGCTTGCGTATCTGCCTCTGCAAATGCAATGGATTCCTGTGGCAGTGGCTTGGAGTAGAGTAGAGCAGCGGAAAGTAGATGAACAGAGTCGCGCAAGATAGAATAGAACGCGGAGCAGGACAGGAACGCAGAGTAGAGTATGTTAGGGAAGGGTGGAATAGGGTAGGATAGAGCAGAGTAGGGTCGATTGTAGAGTAATCGGGCAGATCGCGTAGAGTAGAGTATAATAACACAGAGAAGAGCAGAGCGATGTATACTAGGGTAGAGTCGAATATACACTTAATAACATAAACGTAGTGGGGCTAGCATTGAGTACCCACATATTGCCGTCAGTTACGCCGTCTAGGAGGGTCAGTGCTTGCCCGTGGTCAAACCGCCGACGAGCCTTCCACGCTCCAGCCACCGGCCAGTGGCGAGGCGGGCGTGCGCGATCCCAGAGCTAGGAAAGAAAGGGTGATGGCTCACGCAAAGAGGTCCTTTCCGCCGCTGGAGCCACCCTCCTGGGGGATGTCGTCGGGGCCGCCCTTGGAGCAGAAGGCCTGGCCTTCGCTCGCTCGTGGAAACCTTCGGCTCCTTCTGGTGAGCTGCCGCACCTGCTGCGCGCGACCGTGGGTGACAACCCCTGCCTTGAGGGTGTCGACGTCGGGCTCGTGCCTGAGGCCAGCGTAAAGGCGGCCACAATGCCTGTGGGCCTCGCCGTGGCTGGAGAGGCTGCCGCGGCAGCTGCCTCCTCGCTGGCGCCGCCCCCGTCGCCCGCCTCCCTCCTCTCTTCTCGTCGAGGCTGTGAGGGCCGTCTTGTCAGCCTTGGCTCGGAGTCTACGACCTGCCTGGCCTCCGTGTCCTCTTAGCGGCCGTGCGGGCGTCGGGTCGCGCGCCCGCGTCCTCCCTGGGTGCGATGGCGGCGCCGCCGCTGCTCCTGCGCCTCTCGGAGGCTCGACCTGGCTAGCCTGCTGTGCCCATAGCTGTAGCATCTCTGGCAGACGAGCACTGCGTCGGACAGGGGGGCTAGATGCCCTGGGCCTGCGATGTTGCGCCGCTGGGCCAGCGCGCGGTTCTTGAAGAATCTTCAAAAGGGGGACGCCGTCCTCGCTGCTGCCGGCAGGCTGGGCGGGTGGCCTCGGCTGTCGTCGCTTCGCTGCCCCGCTGGCTGTGGGCGACCGAATGGCCCCCGTCCCCTGCTGGATTTCCTGCTTCTTGGCGATGCGCCTGCTGTCCTGGCGTTCCCACCTGGGCCTGTCCACGGGTCCCTGCGTTCCACCCGTGGCCTCTGGGCCCGCTGCAGTCGGCCCTTGGCCTTGGCGGCGGGGGTGTCTATGATGAACTTCGCTGGGTAGCCGCGTCGGAAGCGCGCCGCGCGCTTGCCCCGCGGCGGCGACCGCGGGATCTCTCGCGGGGCTCTTGGGGAAGCGGCGGAGTCGGAGCCCAGGCGGCGCCCAGCTGACAGCTTGCCCTCACTCCTGGCCGCTGAGGCTCGGGGGCCGTGGAGCACTGTTGGGGCCGAGCCAGTGGTGGCTGTTCCCCATGCTGCCGCGGCCGCGCCCCCTCCCCCCCCTTCCCGTTGCGCCTGGGCGACCTCGGCGCCTGCTGCCCTGGGGCGCCGGGGCCGCTCTGGTCTGGGCCCGCTCTCGTGGGCCCTCGCTGCCGCCGTTGCGATTGCCCCCCGCCTCCCGTCGTGGACGTCGCAGCCGAAGCCGCTGCCGCCGATGGACCTGCCGTCGTCGTCGCCTGGCCAGCGCTCCTCGAGGGCCCTGGCCGCCCCTGCTTCGTCTGTGTGATTGCAGAACTTGCCCATGTGCACTGGGCCCCTCTTCTCCTGCGTGCTCTGGGGGGAGTCGCGGGGGCTGCCTGGCAGCTCGCTGATCGCGACTGGTGGCAATTGCATCGCCTGGTGAAGTAGCCGACCGAGTTGCCGACCCTCGTGCTGACGCACTCCACCGCCGCCGCATTGATGGAGCGATTAACCGAGGAGGAGATTGGAGCCCGTTGCACGCGGGCACCCCGTTTCCCTTGGAGGCGTCGCTGCAGGCTTGGTCGAGCGCGATGTCCCTGCAGCCCCCGCGCGCCGCGTCTGCCTGGCGGCGAAGTCCCAGGGGATTTCTGAGCTGCTGTCGCCAAGCCCCCCCACGTCGCGCAGGTGGAAGGTCGGTCGTTCGCGGGGGTGGTCCGACTGAGCGCCCGATGCGGCTGGATGTCGTCGGCGGCAGGGGTGGCCGTTGCCGACCGCCCAGCGGCGCCAAGCCCAAATCCTCCTGAAACTGCCATGGCTGCTTCCCCAGTGACTTCTCCTGCTGTCAGGTCGAAGTGCCATTGCCTGACCTGCTCGAGGTCTAGCGCTTTGACGCTGGTCCCCCGCGCGAAGACCCAGTCTGGCTCACGGGGGGGCCCTCGTCGGCGCGCTCCACCTCGTAGCGCCAGATACTGCTAAACCTTCTTCCGCTTGGCCGCTGCTGTCGGGGTCCCTGCGCGGCGCATCTTCGTGTCTCGGACTCGGACTCGGACTCGGACCTGCAAGGTGCACGCCGGCGGGGGCGCTGCAGGCGGGCGCCATGGCGCCATTGTGTGAAACGAGCGTGGCCGCGGGCTCAGCACTGGTTGGCGGTGGCATGAACGCGCGATGCTGTATGGCAGGGGAAGGACGCACGACAGGAGAGAGGGGCGCACGACAAGCGAGGACGAGAGGCGAGGCCGAGGGAGGGAGGGGGAGGGACGAGCGACGGGAGGGACGACGGAGGAAACGCGAGGGAGGGAATTCAAACAGTGCTATGAAAAAATGTACAATCACATATCTACTGACAAATCTGCTCCCCATCGTTCCCCAAACGTCCGTCGTGGCAACATCATACCAATGGTGTCCCGCACAACTTTGTTCTGATAAGCTGAATTGCCGCAGATCATCAGACCATCGCTTCTTCGGGTGGCCTGGGTGTCGGCGAGTGTCACACTCGACGTCTGCCTCCGGATTCCACAACAACGCCCGTGCCGTCCAGCTGTTGTTGGACAGTAGAACCTTGCGAGCCCATTTCAATTTCCGTTGTCGTTGAATCGATACCCAATCTGCAAGATTTAGTCGCGTAAGGGTGTCTTCTGCTTTCTTTGTTGCTCTGCGGATCCACTCCGCCCAAGGTTCCAATCCGTCGTCTTCGCACTCTTGGACCGGGTGGTCTGGGATATCGTCGTCGGTCGACGCTGCTGAGTCTGCAATGCTTTCTGGTTGCCCGTCGCGGTGGTCACCTGCTGTCGTACGCCGTCTCGGCGTCTGCAAAATCATGCGTAACATTTGCCTCTGTACCCTGCGCAACCGGTTCTCCATAGTCGATATCATTGTCCAAGCTTCACAACCATAGAGTATAGTGGGTGTAACCGTTCCGTGAAATAGCCGTATCCTGCTGTTGAGCGAGTAGTGCTTATCCATCAACTCTTGTCTTTGCGCAAAGAACTTTCGCCATCCTGCAGAGATTCGGTTCTCTAGCTCGGCTGCGTGGAAATCGCTGAATTGAAACTTCCGTCCCGAATATTTCGTTGATTTGTAGGTGGGCCAGATCTCGATGTGCATTCCATTTGCCACCGCCTGGCTCGGCAACCTGCGCCTGCGTGATCTCCAATACCCGTTATGCAAAATCTTTGTTTTATCTGGGTGCAGGAGAAGACCTGATTTCGCAGCTTCGATGCTGAGGTCGGAAATCATGCTCGGGATGTGTTCCAGCGAGCCTGCCACAAGCATTATATCATCTGCAAAACGAAGGTTGGTGAGTCTTTCGCCCCCTGACTGCATCAGGATCCCCATGTTTTTCTGTAGCCACTTCTGCTTGACGTTGCGCATGATGTGCTCGGTGGTGCTGTTGAACAGGAGAGAGCTAAGTGGATCGCCTTGTTTGGTGCCCCTCTCGACGTTGAATGTCTTGCTGCATTTGTCTGTCCGGACCGACGCGGTCTGTCCACAGTGCAAGTCTGAAAGTAAATATACGTATGCCGGTGGCGTGCCCTGTTGGAGCATCGCGCCCCACATACTCTTGTGGCTGACACTATCAAAAGCTTTGTTGAAGTCGACCGCCGCAGTCCATACAGGTATCGTCCACTCGTTGGCTTTTTCCTGGATCTGTGTGAGAGTGAACAGGTGGTCTGTCGTACTGCAGTTGGGCCGAAATCCTGCTTGATCCCGGCTCTGTTGAGGATCGAGGATCGGGAGCAAACGATTGTACAGCAGGCGAGAGAACAACTTATACAGCATGGGGATTGTCGCAATTGGCCTGTAATTATGAGGAAGCTGCGGGTCGCCACTTTTGTACAAGACCTTGATTACCGTGTGCTTCCAATTTTTCGGTGTCGGAGTGCCGGGGCGCAGAATGCGGTTGAACAAGTCAAGCAAAATGTATCGAAGAGCCTTCCCGCCTGACTTGAGCATCTCTGCAACGATACCTTCGGTGTCGGCTGCCTGGTTTGATTTGAGTCCTTTCAAAGCGTGTTCTATTTCAGAATTGGTGAACGCTGGAATTGGAGGGGTGTCGGGCCTCGTTGCCATATGTGCTGCACTGCGGGTATCTTGATACAGCTGCTCGTAAAATGTCGCAAAGACGTCCGCGATGGATTGCCTATCATTCAGTGCGCGCCCGTCCTGATCCAGCATGCTGGTGATTAGCTCTTTCTGCTTGTACGTTTTTGCTCCATTGATCTTCTTCAGCTCCTTGTACTGCGTCAGGATGTGGTCGACTCGGGCTCTCTGCGTGGCCCGCCTGATGGCCCGGATCTCCTTCTTGATAGCCTTGTTCGGTTGTCGACGCTGCATGGTGTCTGTCTGTGGGGCCGCGCGTCTGTCGCATAGTAGGTCGGTCAAGCGCTCCGTCGTTGGTTGCCGTCTCCTGCTGGTCGTTGCTGTGGTTGCGGAATGTACTTCTGCCATGGTTGTTTTGATAGCGTCCTCGATTGCCTCGCACTTGAGCTGGAGTCGGAGATCGAATAACATGTGTTCCAATTTGTCCGTCAGTACTGTCTGGTACTGTGATACATCACGCGGTGGCCATTTAGGCGTACAGTGCCGTATCTTTCGCTGTGTTGTTTGTGGTGCCGTCGGTGTCGGTACCTTCACGATGGCCCGTATGGCTCTGTGGTCGGATCCCATATCGACATCACCCGTTGACTCGCAGTCGCGAGCTGCAGTCCATACGCGTTTGTTGACCAAGAAATAATCAATCTGCCTATGAACATTTAGTGGAGATGTATACGTATAGACACGCTCCGGCCTTTTGCGGAAATATGTGTTCAGAAGTCGTAGTCGGTGCTGTGCGGCCCACTGTTTAAGCCACTGACCGCGCACATTGGTATCAGGCATGCCGTGCGGCCCAATTGACTTATGGTCATCGTCGATCGTGGCCTGCCCAACCCTGGCGTTGCAATCCGCTCCAACGATAAACATCATTTTTGCCGTCGCAGCCTCTCTCTGTAGATTCCCAAGAGCGTCATACATCGTCTGTATGTGGTGGTCTGCATAGCCTCCATGTGGGAAGTACGCACTGGCCAATCTCAACTTGAATCGGCCCCGTCGCACGTCGATGTATACAATTCTTTCGTTGATTGGTCGAAATACTCGTATCGATTGAACCCACCGTTTGTGCACAAGAACCCCGACGCCGCGGCTAGTAGTATTGAGTCCTGATCCCACGAAAGCGTGGCCATCACCAGAAATCCAAAATTCCTCCTTTGAATCCCTCCGCGCATCTTCGTGTCCTCTGGTCCTTCGTCTGGCGGTCCTTCTGCGGTGGGGTTGTCCAGCCTGCCTGGGCCCTTCCAATCTGGCTCCGGCATGGGCGGAGGTGCTGCTGCTCCGCTGCCAGCGCCGGCGCCGTCATCGGGCGCCCCGCCGGCGCGAGGCCCGAGCCGGCTGCTGCCAGAGCCGTCGGAAGCACTTCCATAAGTGCGTCGCTCTCGACCTTGGGTTCGTTCGTCGGCTGCCTCTCGAGGGTCGCCGGAAACGCCTGGTTGGTAGCGTCGGCCTTGGAGTCTTGCATGCTGGCCTGGGGCTCAATCGCTTCGACCGCTGCTTCGAGCCTTTTCGAGCCCTGCTCCTCGGTGGAGTATAGTAGGTCTGGGTAGAATCCTCGCTCTACATTTCTCAAGATAGAGTCTGCGCTGGCTGATGTGCCCCCCCGTCTTTGCGGGCACCATCGGGCCCTGCGCGGGCGCTAGGGCCGTCGAGAAACTGCTCGGGATCTGGTCTTGGGGAAGGCCCCGATCTAGGGTCCGCTTAGCTCAGGGCCCGCTTCCTCCGCGGGGAGACGAGGGGGTTCAAGGGCCGAAGACCGAAGAAAAGAACTGTCCTTCTTCCAGGGTCCTATTTGTCCGCCGGGCTTAGACCGACCGGCGAAGACGGCGGCGTCGGGCCCCGTCGAGCCCTCCGCGTCGGGCAGTGCAACGCCCTTTCGAATGGCCCACGGCCCCGAGTAGCGGGCGCACCCTGGGGTTCTCGCGCTTTTCCTCTGGAAGCAAAAGGACATCCAAACAAGCCGAGAGGGCCTGGAGAGGCTCCCAAGACGGCCCCCAAGAGGACTCGGCCCCAGAGACGCCCCTAAAACGCCTCCAAGAATCTCCCGAGAGGCCTTCCAAAGTATCCCCACAAGCATCCGAGAGGCCCCTGATATATTGCCCAAACGCGGCCGCGGGATGGGCCGATGGCCACTATGCCAAGGAAAGGACCACCCATCGAACAATTGCCCTGGCCAAGCCTCCAGCCAAACCCAGGCCAAGCATCCTGGCCAACTCTCGTCTGGGTAAATATTTACTTCTAATGCGCCGTGGCATCGTGTGGTGCGCTGTGTGGGGTGGGACATGCGCGCGCGCGGTTGCGCCCCCCCCAAACGTTTTGCCCCCGCAGGTCCGGGGCCCCCAGACCCTCAAAGGCAAGCCTTCGCGGCCGCCGAGATGCCTGAGATGCTTCCTAAGATGACCCCGACGGGCTCCAACGCGCTGGAGAGGTCTCAGGAATGCGCCAAATATCCCCATTGCGCCGACAGAAGGCTCGAATGGGAGCTCCAGAAAGAGCCCCACGAGGCCACACTCATTGACGGCCTATAAATTTTCTCGAATCATGTTCGAGTTCTCGCCTTTCTGGGCGTCTGCAGGCCCAGACAACGCGGCGCGAGCGACCCATGGGACTGACGCGAGTCCAGTAGGGACCAGAGACGGCCCAAGAGGCCCCCCAGATGGACTCCAAAACCATCCAGCGGCCCCAAGAGGGACCAAGAAAGGCTCAAGAGGGGGAACCAGCAAAGGCCCCAAGAGTCCGTTCTCGCAAGATAGCACTCAAGACCCCCACTGTGAGCCTAAGAGGCCCCGAAGCCCCCCAATGCCCCCGGTTCTTCCTTTCGCGACAAGCTCATGGCGACCCCGGGGGCCTTTGCCTGGGTCTGGGGGCGTGTCTGCGCCTACATACTACACAAAAGTACTGAATCGACATGCTGACGCTGTGGAGGAGGGGGGAGGAGGACAGGCGAGACGAACAACAAATGTGATTCACACGTCCGCGGCGAGATACTTCCAGACATGATGTAATGCTGCATCTCAAGCTAATGCTTCTGCCTTGAGAGCTGACCAGGTGTTCGAAATTACCTCCCTCATCAACGCGAGCCCTTCGTAGCAGACGCTGGCCCCTGCGACGCCCGGATCACCGTAGATGGCATAGCCTACCGCCGTCAGCCGATGGTCATTAGACGCAAACCTCGAAGTCCTCCGTCCACGCAAATCTTGATCACACCGTCGGGGATTTTTTTCCGAAGTGCGTCCTGGCGTTCCCACTGGTGCTTTTGAGGCGTGTCCATCGCCGGGTCAACGAGATAATCGGACAGCTGTGCTCATGTCCCTGGAATACCAATTTACGTTGTGATCGATGTCCCTTCTTGGACTCTAATCAGCGTGTTCCAAACAAAACAACCTGGCGACGATCCGTCTGCAGACAATTTCCAATATTGGCGCGTACAGGACCGAATTCCCGCTACCGATATCGGCGGCTCCCAAACAATCGATCTTGATCCAGAGGCGCCTGCTCCACGAGTCCCAGTCGAGGTCCCGGAAACATCGAAACAACCCCAAGAGGCGGCCCCTAAGAGGCCGCAAAAACCCTCGCAACAAATGCTGGGGAAGATGAGGATACATCACCGACAACTATACGCAGGCACCACGACGAAAACATGGCGGAATGGCGTAAGACTCGCAAGCCGGAGCTATTATGCCGGCCACGATAACTCATGACAGACGATTTACTTTGGGTTTGATTTGGGATGCTGCGCGACGCATTGCATCGTAATTGTGTGTTGCGTCTTTGCGTTGCTCCGCATACTTGCAACGCATCGCGTCTTTGCGTCGCAACGCGCTTGCCGTGCAACGCACCCTCAGGACGAGGGGGGGGGACCACGACCGTAGGCGGAAACAATTAAGAAGCACTCCCCCTCCCCCAACATCAAAGGTGGCAAACTTGAGGAACACCCCAGCTATCTGCACGTCAACATATCCACCGCCAGTGTAGACCATGAGGGGGATGGCAGGGAGCATTGCCACGTGAACACGGAGGGGAGGATAATCAGGATCATGATCAGGACGATGATGTTGATGATGATGGTGATGCTGATGCTGCGGCTGACGATGATGATCACCCCTGACCCGACGGGACCCCCGAACTAATCCAACATCACATTCAATCTTATTCGGGTGGGCCCAGGAGGAAGAGGAGAGAAAGAGGAGGGTGCGGGGGGGGAAGGGGGAGGAACATGAAGTGCAGGATCAGGAGGAGGGGAGAGAAGGAGGAACAGGATGAGGAAGAAGGAATAATACTGTGACGAGGAACATGAGGCGGAGGAGGAGGAGGAGGAGGTGGAGCAGGATGAGGGGTGAGGATGAAGAGGGCCATGGAAAGGATGAGAAGGAGGAGGAGGAGCAACAGCAGGCGAATGAGAGAGGATGATCAGGAAGATGAGGGAGGACCAGCGCCCAGCAGGGCTGGCGGCGCGGTGCGTTCCCCCAAGTCCTGGCGCCAAGCCCAGCTGCTTTTATCCTCCGTTCCCGGGTGCTGAGGACCATCTTGCAGCCGCACGCATTGCACTTGTAGAGGGCCTTCCGGGAAGGGAGAGGGGGTGGGGGGGGAAGAGGGGGGGCAAACATCGGGCGCACGCTCGGATGGATTACGGATCCGTGGTTCTGGTACGTGGGTGCCAGATCCACGGATCGGGGAAAATGTTTGATGGAAGATGAAACCAATGTCGACTGATTTGGTGACGGAGGGCGCCGATTCTGCACGTCAACGGGGCCCGTCGCTAGTCCACGCGCCTTAACCCATTTTTGCGCTTCCTTGAAAAGAGGGGGGGGTCTAGAAGGATGGGGAAATTCTTGCTCCTCTCTCTTCCTCCTTCACTCTCCCTCCTTGCCGTCGTCCTCCTCACCGTCGTCGCCGTTGTCCTCCTCCCCCCTCCATCCCTCTCCTTGCCTTCGTCTTCCTCATCGACGTAGTCGTTGTCCTCCCCCATACGCTCAACACAACTCCGCCTCCTCCTCTCCGTTCTCCTCTTTAATATTTTAACCTGCCCACCTTCACCCTCGTCCTCTCCGCTGCTCTTGGCCCTTCCTCTCCTCTTCATCCTCCGTCATGCTCCCCCCCCTCCTCCACTACTTATCCTCCTCAAAAACTCCTCCTCCTCCACTTCTGTCATCCTCTATCCTCCATTCTCCTCCCCCGCCTTCCTCTTTCTCCAGCGGGGTACCCGGCATTGCCCCGAAGATCGCCGAAAACCATCCGGACACTGCCGCCTCCGCCGGATATGTGCAAACATCTCTGGAAACAATGGCAAACTTCCGATGTTTCGTGTCGCCCTTCTTCTCTTCCTCGTCCTAACTCGTCGTCGTCCTCCTACTTACCCGTCGTCAGCCTGTTCGTTTTCGTCTTTGTGTGGTGGTCGTTGTCGGCTGGGATGTGGCGATTGTCATATCATAGTCTTGTTCTCCGTGGCAGAATCAGAAGGCACTGACTCGAGAAATCGGACCGAAACGAAATGTGCGCCGCATCGGGCTGCGCCACTACGGGGTCGAGACCGCATCGGATCCGCCGCGCCACCAACATGTAACGGGCACCATGCATCCTGCCGCACCAGACCGCCAGAATACCGGAACCGAACCAGATCGAGCTGGGCAGAACCGATATCGGATCGAATCGGATGGATTGATGTGGGCCATGCACGGTTGTCGCCTGGCTTGGCGGCGCCGATAGGGGGGGGGCGCGAAGGGGGGGGCGTTCTAAGAGAACGGCGAGGGTTCCGAGAAGGCAGAACAAAATCTTACAAACCCGCCCGTTTCCCAAGAAACCTTCTCATAATACTCCGGGACCTTTTGATAAGGCCCCAACCATCTAAAAAATTATTCGGCCTTCTTCGTAAACCTTCCTTTTCGCGCCACCCCGTTATGGGCGCCGTCACCTGGTGTTCGTCGTCATCCGCCCAGCAAGCCAAAACATTGCTAACCAAAGCTTTGGAAATTCCACTCGTAGTGGTGCAGTCTATTTGGTGCAATACGCTTAGCCAAACTTGAATATGTCAACTCCGTGCTCGCGCAATCATCCCAAACACCCACCCTCCACTTGGCTTGCACAGCCCATGCGGCGGCGACTGCGATGACTGCTCGGCGCTGGCTGGCGCATCGTCGCGGCCGCGCTAGCGCGCATGCTCGCGCGCGAAGCGGCCAGCGAGTTTGGCGCGACCGACGCGGCCGCGGTTGCGCTGACCGCTGGGCACTTCCCAGCGGGCACCCCAGTGCGAGTCGGCGATTTGGGCGGGCGCGGTATCATGGTGACGTCGACAAAGGTAGGCAATATGATGGTAGTAGCGATGCTGGTGACGATGATGACAACGACGACGGCAAGGCCACTGACGGCGCCGATGCCGATCACGCCGGCGACGATGACGGCGTCTTCGCGTCGGTGATGATGGTTTTGATATAGAGTTCGACATGCGCGCGCGGCCGGCGCGCGAGCGGCCCACAATATATTATTTGACGTGGATCGTGTCCCCCAGCACGCGCGCAAGGGTGTTCGAATGATTTCGACTTGCGGCGCGGGAGGCCAGTTATTGAAGAACTGATGGTGCTCTTGAGAATTCGAAGGAGCGCGAGTGCAGGCATTTTTGAAGACATATGTTGCCAAACCACTAAGGGTGAACATTTCTTTATTAAATAACACTTGATTCTGAACACCCTGCGCAACCAAAGGTATTTGAAGGATTCCTTCATGCGCGCGTTTTTTTTTTTTTGTTGTTGCGAGGGCTTATTGCGACAGCACACGCGCAAAGGGCGTTCGAGCGATTCCGACATTCGCGCGGGAGAGGCGCGTTGGGTAGCAACGACTGAGTCTGAGAAACAACCCTTTTTTTACAAAAATATGGAAGAGCGCGAACGCAAGCTTTATTAATTGAGACTTCTTGCTGCGAAACCATGTGCTTTTATAGGACTTCGGGACACTCGGCTTTGATGCCCTTTCGAAACCTAGCGTCTTTGTTGATTCCAGCACGCGCGCGCGACGACGCGCCCGTGTGCACTTCGTACTGTTTCTTTGCGAGGGGTTCTTGAACACGGATGATTTTGGATTAAAAAATGGTCGCGCGTACAATTTGCTGCAGAGGGTGAGGGGGGCGATGCTGGTCTTAGCTGGGATAACACGAGTTCATACTTAAGACGGGCGATGGGGCAGAATCGTATGTACATTGAAATGCGCGGGAGGTGGTCGTTAAGTCCGGGGTGGGGTGGGGGGGATGGGGGGGGGAGATCCTATATTACTCTTTGAGAGCGGAAAATGTGTGTGGCACGCTTCACTTTGCAGGAATTGAAATTATCACCTCCCCTGCTCGCGCAATCATCCCACCCCCCACCCGCAGCTCGGCTTGCAAAACCCGCGCAACAACGATTGCGATGACTGCTTGGCGCTGGCTGGCGCGTCACTGCGGTCGCTCTAGCGCGCATGCTCGCGCTAAGCAACTTTGGCGCGACCCGCGCGTCCGCGGTGGTGCTGACCGCTGGGGGCTTTCTAGCGCGTCTCGCAGGCCGCGCTGACGCGCGGCTACTTCCGCTCGATTCGGTGTATTATTGCGGCGTCGACAACGGCTGACTCGATTCTGATCGTAACGATGATGGCGGCGATGACGGCGGTGACGACGGCAAGGCCAATGACGGCGCCGATGCTGGTCACGCCGATGACGTATGCCCACGTGTCGGTGATGGAAGGTTTGAAAAAAGAGATTTCGGCGTCGGCGTGCGAGCGCGGCCTTCGCGGGCTAGCTGCCCGCATGATACTATCTGACAGGGCGGATGCCCCCCAACAAGCGCGCAAAGAAGATCGAATGATTTCGACATGCGCGCGCGAAAGACCCGCTTGATCGAATTTGATGACCATGTCTTTAAAACCAATTAAAAAACACTGGAAAATCGTTCGCAAGTTTGCCATTGCAGAACTGTTGCAACACAATCACGTTTTACAAGTTTCCGTGAAACTCGATATTGGAAACCGTACGATACCTAAAAAGTGTTTGAGGAATTGCGGCAAACGCGCGTGACGACGCGCGCGTGTCGACTTTGTCCACCCTTGTCATGGGTTATTGGACATGTATGGTTTTTGATAAACGAATGTGCGCGTAATCGTATCTGACATGGGTAAAAACGGCACTCCCTGGGATGGTACGAGTTCACACGATGGGGTACTGTTATACAACCGAATCTACGAGGTGAGCTCTGCCTGGAGCGATCTGTGTGGCGGCGGGCGGCGACGGGGCAGCGAAGGCGGGAAAAAGGCGGCGGAACGGATAGTCAGGCCCAGGCGACGGGCGTCGACGGTCGGCGACCAGGCGGTGACGGCGGCCACAAGGCGGCGGAATCGACAGTCAGGCCCACTTTCTCGAAACCGAAGTAGGATTCCCTAAGTGCAAGCACTGTGTGGGGGATACTGGGGAATTGTTCCACCCACGGCTGCAATTTCCTCGGGTGCGCCAATGCCCCGGTTTCAGAAAAACATTGGCCCCGTTTAGGGGGCTCTGGGCTCTGAACCGATATCGGATCGGATCGGCCCGATCGGAATGGACCCTGCGTGGTCGTCATCCTGGTGCTTTTCGTCGTCGTCCGCCCCCTCGGCGCTGGCTGCTGACCATGGCCGGCCGTCCCCGATGGCCTCGTCGTCGGGCGCGGCGCCCCCGCTGAACTGCTTGATTGGCGACTCGCAGGAGGGGCAGGTGCCCACCAGGATCTGCGGGCGAGGCTGGGAGACGACGAGGGCGACAAGGAGGACGAGGGGGAGACTCTGGAGACTCTCTAACCAAGCGGAACAGCAGTCGCCCTGGGCCCCTGAAACGTGTGAGGGGTGTGCCAGAGTGAGCGCGTGTCTGCCATGCGTCGACGCCGCCTGAGATCGCAGGAGGAGCTTTATATGGGGCACGAAGGTGTGCCGAATTGAACGAGGTGCCGCCATGCGTCGGCGCACACTAAGACCGTAGGTGGAGCTCCCTAGGTGTGAGGGGTGTGCCGACTGAACGTGGAATCGTCGCCGTAAATATGCGCCCGCTGAAACCGTAGGTGGGCTCCATACGATGCCACGAAGCGTGTGAACGGTACGCCGGTAAAGGCACGTGGCGAGCTGAGGCACGGAGGGGGGAGAATGAGAAGGAGGCCCACGCGCTCTGCTGATTCAAAGCAAAGGGCCAACTCACACCAGATGGTCCGAAATAAGCTTTGGGAGGTCCGCGCGCCCCGGAGCTGGAGGCGGCGCCAGGGGTATGCCTGGCGCCGGCCCCGAAGAGCTGATATGTATGCAGGTGTTCGGTGTTCCACCTCCCATGTTCGAAGAGGAGGAGGAGGGCGAGAAAGAGGATCGAATTGCCTTGATGCTTTTGGCCGTGCGCGGGCCTCCATATAGTCTTTTTAATCAATCTGCCCCTCTCGGGGCGACAAGAACAACAAAACAAATCTTCCTGCTCAAACTGTGTTGGTGCTCCCCTGGCTACAACAACAACGGCGCCCGCCTGATATTTCCGAACGGAATAATCCAAAGTCGCGCTCTCGCGCGGAATTTCCTCATGATGTATGCAAAAATGGCATTGTCGCGTGGGGACGTCCTCGCTATTACGCTATTAATTCAGACGCCGCGCCCTCGACAATCAGGATTCACGCTTTCGCTTTGGCTCTTCCCGCGGTGTATTCGGCAATCGCTCTATCGCTCAAGACTTCCTCGCGATTCATGCAGGACTCACGCTTCGGCAACCCGCCTGCTCGATCTCGCCGCCTGGGCCCGCCTTCGGGATCCGCCCGCGTCTCGCCCCCCTCCTGCTAATTTCTCTCGTGCTCCATCCTTCTTCCTCCCGGTCCATCCGTCTTCTCTTTCCTTGTTTTGGGGATTCCACTACATGCACGCGGCAAGTAAAGAAGATACCCCCCTCCAGGGGGTACGGTCGAAAACGAAGAGGGCGGGCACCGAAGGCTCGGGATTACGTGTTGAGTGGCACGCGAGCAGATAGGAGCGAACAATATAAAAAGGATTGTTGTTGTTGCTGTCGAGTTCTCATTTCTAAAGAATAATGATTGTTGGTCCACCTCCAGTAAGCATTGCATTTTCAGCTAAAGTGCTTATCCTGGGGCTAGCAATTTTTTCATCAAGTAAAAAATCCAAGGGGACGTGAAGTGCCACCGCCCTGTGTTTTTGCCCCTAGGTTGACAACAACAACGACTCCCGTCTGATACTTCCGCACAGTGTATGCCCAAGTCGCGCTCTCGCGCGGGACTTATTCACAGCGGGGAATCGCGCTCTTTCGTGCGACATCCGTGCAATTTTTCAGACGCCGCGCCCTCGACACTCATGCGAGAATCACGCTCTCGGGGTGGATTTCTCACGGTTTACTTGGAAATCGCGCTACCACTCGACACCTCCCCGCGAATCATGCAGAAAATACGCTTCAACAACCCGCCTGCTCGACGTGGCCGCCTGGGTCCGCCTTCGGACCCGCCCGATAGGATCTACCCGCCCGATCTGCCTGTCTGTTTCTGCCACGTGCTTTCTGCTCCTTGCCCCCACCCCGGCTACGCTTTTTCGTGCTCGATCCTCCTCCTTCCCCCTCTTCCAATCCTTCCATCCGTCCTCTCCTCCCCTATCAGAGAAACTATGGATTCAGTTTGTGTCGGGGTTTCGGTTTTCTGCTATGCCTGGCGGCCCATAGGGGCCAGACGGATCGCGAGGAGGCGGAGGAGGAGGAGGAGGAGGAGGAGGAGGAGGAGGAGGAGGAGGAGGGGGAGGATGAGGAGGAGGAGGAGGAGGAGGGGCCATCTGTGGTTGTGGTTTCTCGCGTTTCTCCGGCCTGCCTCTCTCCCCTCCCCCTCCTCCCTCTCTCCCTAAACCCCCCTCCCTCCTCCTCCCCTCGCCCCTCCCCCCGAAATGGGACGAATTACAACCGACTGGTCCCAATTCTAACCGTTCGGAGCGAATTGCAACCATACATGGGACCAATTACAACCATGGGATCTTCAGAAGTACTTCTTTCTTCTTCAGAAGTGCTTCTTTCTTCTTCAGAAGTATTTCTTTCTTTCTTCTTCACAAGTGCTTCGATTCCTTAGGATTCCTTAGGACTCCTTAGGACCCTTCGGATTCCTTAGGGTCCTTGGGATCCCTTAGGATCCTTAGGATCAGGACTCCTCCGGATTCCGTCAGGAATCCTTAAGAATATTTGCGAATCCATGGGAGTCCTGAGAAATCCTTAGGG